AGTTAGTTCGATCCATGTTCCCTTTTAAACGCTGCAGTGTTGTATTTACATTGACATGTTTGACGAGCGGCCGCGGCCGGCAGAAAGTTCCGTGAGAAACCGCCGATGAGTAATGAGCTTTCTGCGTTCTAATCAACAGGCCTGTAGTTAGTTTCTTCCCCCTTAATCATCAAAAACTTCGTCAACGAAAAAAGCCTCAAATGGCCGTGGGTGATGGCTTTTAAGGGTCAAAATGCAATAACAAAACAGACAATAACAGAATGACTGCTCTAAGCGTTTCTATTCACAGTCGAACCTGTTTTAAGCGGTCACCAGTTGATTAAGAAAAAGAAGGAAAAGAGGCAAGAGGGAGAGGGAAAGGAAAATTGGAAAGAGAAGAATAAAAGGAGAATTTTGAGAAGAAGAACTGTGGAAAGGGAGGGAAGACGAATGGAGGTGGAGGTTGAAAGGAACGGAGGGATACAGGAAAAAGGGAGGTATACAGGGAGGTATGGGAGGACGAGAAAAGGGGGAAGGAATCGAGGGAGATGGAAGGGAGGGGAGGAAAGGGAGAGAAAAAGTGAGTTAGCAATGCAGAGCGATAGGGAGGAAGGGAGGGAAGGGGAGAAAAGAATGATGAAGGGAACGGGAAAGGGAAGTCGTGCAAAAGCAAACTATAACGAAGAGGAGAAGGAGTAAGGACGAAAGAAACAGGAAATAAGATGCCCTATTCGATAAATGATTTCTTCCTGAGTAACGCAACATACCAGATTCTCCCCCGACCATTGACGCCCAGCATCACTGCTCCGAGCTATCGCCACGGCGAGAATGATCTCAGCGATAGCAAATATGACAATCAAGGCATGTATGGCTATCATAGTATTTTCCTGGTCTTCAAAATTGATTTTTGCGTCCTTAGCCCAAAAGAAAGGAGAACTTTCTTGATCGTTTCTTTGATGATAATCATAAAATTTGAACCACAATATATCTCTCAAAGCCCATGAATAGGTTTCAAGTACCACTGCACAAACCACAACAGAGGCAATACTAATTGCACTGAGCCAGTTTATCTGAAATAGTGAAATTAGAGGAGATGGCAATTATTTTCTGAGCTTCAAATACATCTTACCAATTGGACATTATCTTACCAGTACTGGACATTAACCTTAAGTCAGCGAATACCTGTTTAATGCCACTAAGAAGTAAGACGTTATTTTAATATTTTCTCTTCACATAAATAATCTCATACATTTCAGTTGGTAATCATTCTCACCAGAATCGAGGAACGTCTGGTCGTGCTCGCCACAATCAATCCCATAATGCCCCCTGGCAATACCTGTCCGAGCAAGCAGTAAAATTTTAGGTTTTAGAAATTATGTCAAACAGCAGAGAGTAGAGTTTGCAAAGTTTCCCTTTACAAAACCATTACAAGCGTGTTCGCACAGGTGCAAGCAAGTTCTAAAACCGTAGGGAACATTGTTGTCGTGGATGTTCTTTATCCTCTTTACTAGACCCTTCAAATCAAATGAAATCGTTTGGTATGGAGAAACCTGAATTTGCCTTAATCGCAGTGTTGGATGCTACGTCATCATTTTTCGCATGAAAGCGAGGCCACGCGTGTTTGAAAACAATCATGGCGGAATCGATGAGTACTTTAGAGTTTTGGCACCACAATCTGGGGGACATACCGTTGTTCACGAATGCCTTTGTCGAAAAAATGGCTGCTGAAAACCTTTCAGTGAAGAAGACATTTACAAGGGGATATATAAGGCAGTTCTTGAGAGGATTTGTTTGTCTTTTGTCAGAGCGAGTTTCACTGTGAAAGAATTTATTTTGATCCCATCTTTTTGTCAGAGATGCTTGAAAAGCTCAATCTCTTCTATTTTGAAATTCATCTTAATGCTTGTGTTTAATGAATTAATATTTTTGAGGGGGATTTAATGACATAAGGATGGTTTTGTACTGTATCAAAGGAAAAGTGCCATGACTGGGTGTGCTATGTATGTATAGTAATTTGTCGCCTTCTTATAGATTGATTTTGAGTTGCCATTTTCAAAAAGTATGTTTGCTGTGAACAACTAAAGATTTTATTATCTCATATCTTAGTCAGGTGAATTGATCTTAAGCCCAAATGTTGAAAGTAAAAAATATATACATATTTGTAATATCTTTCGAGCAAAAAGGTTTTAAAGTTATCGGCAATATGTTTAATTACATGTAACAATCCTCTGTGTGCCTTAGAACCTTGTTTACCTGTGTGCAATAAGAAAGCAAAAGAATGTGATTCAACTCTAACGTTAATTTTAACCTGTACATGTTATTATAGTCTGTGAAATTCAACATTTTCCCCCTTTGCTCCCTTCAGGATAAACATCTCTAGAAAAGAAAAAAGGATAGCATAGAAAGATAACACTTTTGAATAAATGTGTATAGGCACTTCCCCTTAAAATCAAGTAAGTATTATTTTTTAAAGTTATTCAAAAAACTTTCCCTGAAAGTTTGTAATTAGACATGACACTGTCCATATCTGGTTTATACTGCCTGCTGTAGTCAGTGGGATTACCCTATCAAAGTAATGGAACTCCTTGACTCTCCTTATGGCCCTTTCAACATGCACTCGAAGGTTGTGAAGTTTTTTGCTCTCCTGGAGTTCACCTTTGGAAAACTGTTGCTTGCTGCTTAAAAATGATGGCATCACTACACTGCAACCAAGAGGTGTGAGTAGCTCTTGTATAACAAAGCCCTTATCAGCCATAATCTCATCCCCAGGCTGGAGCAATGGCAAAAGACCAGATTGCTTCACCAGCTCTTTATCTGATATTGACCCCTCAAATATTGATATTGATATCTGATATTGACCCCTCTGATATTTACCCCCTCTGATATTGACCCCTCAAATAAATGTAAATTATTTCCCCAGATGGTGAAATAACAACATTTCCCTTATAGGTGGTATGGCTTTTGTACGAGGAGTACATTTCACTATTTAACATTAAACTTGATGGTGCTTGGACCTTTATCTCAGATGCATCAATAATACTCCTGCAGTTTGGGTACAGAGACTTGAAACAAGTGGGCATGTCCTTCTGAATTCTTTCCCGGGAAGGCCATATACAAATACTCCCGAGCATGAAATAAAGAAAATTTATCCAAGAAATAAAAACCCTGCTTACAGTTGTTTGGGAAATATTCAAATTATCACCTAACACTTGGTTTAAAGTACCAACCCTCAACTTTTCAAGAACTAGATAGAACTGATCAAATAAACTTAGTTTGCAGCCTTGCATAGTTTGCCTAACGCCCTCAACTTCGCCGAATTTTGACAACCCACTGCTTTCGAAGGGATTATTCGCTCGGCAATTGGTGAAAGGTAAGATTTGGAATATGTTTTGCGCGATTATTTTGACATTGCGGCACGCAACAATGATCTCTGTTCGGCATGGTCCCGAATCCTCTCTGGCCAAAAGTTCAAATTTATACGCGTGGCCTCGCATTGGTGACAAAAGTACATGACGTCAATCCAAGGCGTATCATCAACGTAAAGGCGTATCATCAACGTATGATCAGTAAATCTATTTTGAAATACAAAACATCACACAATTATACCCCAGAATATTTAAGATGCAGTTTCATTAAAGAAACGGCCTTACTTTATGTTATTTGAGAAATACTGAGAGAGTAGCCAGGTAGAAGTAAAACAATGCTATTGGGTAGACTTAAGTGTTAATGTAAATATTTACAATGACTAAAGGAGGTTAACTGTGAGTAAATAAAGCTAACTCTGTCTCCTCCATGGCTGGTCACGCCAATCATAAGTGATGTATCAGAAAACATATAACAATAATCTATGGGTTGGGTTCTGCACATCAGAAATACGTCACGGCTTTCTTATGGTATTGTTGCAACTCAGCCCAGCCTAAACTGATCGAAATGCAGCTTTCCCATCGAGCATAAGAACACATAACTTTGTTTCGGCGCGATACGGCAATATGACGACTTCATTTCAAACGGCTTCCTCGTCTTACATTCCTTGATGCCCACTATAGTTCATATATTCCTTAAATTGATTTCATTAGATTTCATATCAAATGAATTAAATAACTACAATGCATGAAAGAAACTCCTGTTTTTGACTCAGAAAATGCAGATTTCAGGTAACAATACTGAAGAGAGATAATTAAGTGTGCAGAAGATTACAAACTGTTTAGTTGCACCTTTTTACCCACTCGAGCTTATTCAATGTACTCCTTATTGTAATCAAAATCGTATGATTACCTGAGCGGATATTGAACTCATCTTAGTGCGACTGAATTAAATGTACTGTTTGAAAATTCTACCGTGCCGTATATAGTCAAGCCATATATGTTCAAAGTCTTTAGCGGAAGTCGATCATGAGGCGTTTGAAAACAGCTAAATGATGCTAATCGTTAATATCAAGGTGCTTTATAGCTTAGCAGAAGTCACGTTCTGAAAACGAAATTCTTCTTACAGAAAGATATACGACCTAAACGGCCCATTTCTAGTGTAGACAAGGAACAATCGACCAACGATGTACGGTATCACCACCTATCGGCTTATAAAGTTAAATCCTCTTCAGCATTGTACATATCCCAGCCAAGTTCTGCAGCCGTTCTCGATTTCGACTTAACATATAACCCAACCAGTGTTTACGAATCACAGATCTCGTATATATATTCATCGTAGTTTGGATTGATCCTTAGTTTCGCGTCCATAATAATATTCGTATTCGGTCGATAAACACCATACCAGGTTGGCATTATTCGTCATCTCATAAGGTAAATATTGAGAGCCATTCTCAAACTAAGTTTCTCGACGAATGACAGCTGTGAGGGTTGAGTGATATTTGCCTCAGTGGTCGTATTATTGAAACGAATAGAAGCACTAGCGAAAAACTGTTTCACTTCTTCGCCATGAATCTCGAATATCTTCTATTTTAACAGTCGAAAGCAGAAGCACTGGCAATGAAACACGTGTGGTTTTACGTCTTCAAGTGTACTTACGAGAGCTGCGATCCAACATGGCATGAACAAGAAGCTGAGGTACACGTAGCGTACTTCAAAATGGTCCACGATGCCGAATGCAAAAAAGATAACTGCCATTACCAGTTGAATAATCGAGATGATTTTCAATTCTCGCCTACTGAACGCCATGGCGAACGGAATATTTCCGTGACGTTTACGCTAAAATATTTACATGAAACTCGTTCCCAGATTTATCGCAATTTCTTCGCTTGTCAAGGCCAGTGATGCCTTTGACAACGACAAACATTTGCTGTCTGGTTTCTGGTTGAATATGATCATTTAATAACCGCAACTGTCATCCAAAAACACTCCCTCGCGCGAATAAACTTCAACAAGTATGATTTGTAAGGCTTTCCCCTGATTTCTTATTACGTGACTGTTAAATCCAATATTAACCAACCCAACGAAATTTAATGACTGTAAAATCCTTATACATCGATTCGAAAACGTTCTTCTGTAAACCTATTTCTGCCCGAAAATCCACACGGGAGAAAGCCACCGCGAGGCAGTTCCCGGATGGTCACAACAGTGACTGCATTTTGAGCTGTCAATTTCAAGGCGAAATAGGTTGATATTAGTGATAAAAAGGCCTTCTGCTTGACGGGGATACACGTAAGTCAGGAGATGGATTTTCACGAGGGCCCTGCAGGCGTTTCTGGTGCTAAATTAAGGCTTTTCATTCGGGAGGGGCTGGGGGGGGGGGTAACCAAACCTTATTTTGTGCGGAATCAGTGTTAATAAATGAAAAATACACACAGTAAGTAGCCTTATTCTATTTTATCCCGCTATAGAGTTGAAATGAATGAGGAAGGAATTTCACTCAACCATGTCTCCCCCCTTCCCCTCTCCCCTCGAATAAGTCTCTCGTCTGATTAACTATTTCCCTCCCTCCCACTTGGGATAATTGAAGCGTTCACAGTAGTAATTCATTTGTAGTGAACATCGGGTGAGCGCCTGATCGAGGAATGGCCTCCACTGATTGGGCTGCGACTGAAGTCGGTGGCCCTTGCACTTGGATCGGCACCTGACCAGCTTCAAGTTAGTCATAAGAAACGCCTACCTGAAAATTAATGAAGATATGATGTGTTAAATTACTCTGATATATCCAATAGACTACAATCCATCAGATACTTTCTCTTGCACGATTGGTCAAAACGCGTTACAGGATCCAGATGGATTTATTAGAATCGAAGAATACTTTGTAATATAGATGAAGCAATTGTGCGATCAAAGATTTCCGACTTGTCTGTTTAAGAGACGATCGCCAATTGTAAAACTCGAGAATTCATCATGATGAATTTATGAATGCACTTATATTTTTGGAACTGAGGTTATACCACATGAAAAGCAGTGGATGTAAGAGAAATTTTAGAAAGCATTTACGGCAATTTTGGACTGCCTAGTAGAGTGACTAACTGTCTAAATGAAGACTGAATGCGACTTGACTGTATTATGGCTCACTAGTTGACTAACGACAACTGACAGTTGCCAACGACCGACGACTGAAGACTGGCGACTGACGACTGGCAACTTACAATTGACAATTGACAACTGACGACTGAAGACTGAAGATTGACGACTGACGACTGACAACAACGACCCAACGACCAATCGGCTGACCGACTTACCAACTTACCCATCGATAGACTGCCTGATTGACTAAGCGACTGACTGACTAAATGACTGACTGACTAAGAGACTGATTGAGTAAGCAACTGACTGACTAAGCGACTGACTGACTAAGCGACTGACTGACTTATTGACCAACTGATTAACTGACCGACTGATTGAATGACTGATTGCCTGACTGACTAACTGACTGACCGACTAATTGACTGACTGACTGACCGACTAATTGACTGACTGACTGACTGACTGACCGGCTGATAACTGACTAACTGGCTGATTGAGTGACTGATTGAGTGAGGCCCTCCACAGACTAGGGATTTAGTTGTCGACAACTATTTGTGATCGACAACTAAAAAACGTAGTCTGTGGCGCAAGTTGTCGACAACTAAACCGCAAATTATTAGTTGTCGACAACTAAGCAGTTTCCTTTTTCGAAAAGGGAAACTGCTTAGCTGTCGACAACTAATAGTTGTCGACGGCCTCATTTTTTAGCGTTTTTCTAGTGTGTGAAAACTTTTGGTTTAGTTGTCGACTACTTTTAGATCACCGCACTATTGTGTCAGCGGCTTTCTCCGCCGGCTTAAAACATGGAGGATTGCAGAAGTAAAAATACTTGGTAAAGAAAACATTCTTTTTTATCTTCCTTCTCCACATCCCGTCCTTGGAGGTGGAAACGACACTAACTATGTCATTATTATAGCAGCCTCTGCCCACCAACAAGTTCTGATGCAGGACATTTTATCCAAAACGATTGAACGGGAAGTTTAGCGCAAAGTTCGTTCGAGGGACTTTTGCCCAACGTGCCGTAGAAACTGGAGTGACGGCGATTTTATCATCAATTTGCGAGTAGGCAGGAGTACGTTTCTTCTTATTGTTGAAAGACTGACCCCTTATATTCACCGAGAAACGACAAGAATGAGGCAGTCCATTGATGTCGATGAAAGAGTTGCTATGGCGTTATGGCGATACGGAGCATGCGCAGTAAGCTCTTGGTGCCCAACCTCCCCGCGTATCGGTTGCTAAATCCGTATTTGAGCGCCAGTGTGTGGAATCCTTTATCGGGCAAAAGGAGAACCTAAACTATAGTTCGGCACACAATGATTGTTTGCGAACCTCATCACTGCGACTTCATGGGATGTATGTAAAAGGATTTGTTGAAAACGTGTGTGTTAATTGGCTTGTTGATAAAGGAGCAGCTAAGAGTACTCTGTCTAGGAAAATTGCAAAATAATTATTTGATGATTCTACTTGTTACTACATGGATGCGGGTCAAAGTCAGGATATTTTTCTTGCTAACGGTAAGAAAATTGACATTCATGGTTCAAGTCTGATTACTATTAGGATAGGAAAACAAGTATTTCAATTTAATGTGCTCATAGCGGACATTACAGACTAAGCCATCTTAGGAATGGATGCTCTCTCGCAGGTAAATGCGGTTGTTGATGTTACTCAAGGAACATTGTCTATTAATGGTGAGACTGTGGACTGTATTCATTATGATAGTCAACCCTTGAATTGCAGATGTTTAATGCGTCGTATGACTTTGGTCTCACCAAATTCAGAAGTTATCATCAACGGCCATTTGAGGCATTGTAAACAATCTTATTGCCATGAGACATTGACATCTAACCTACGTATCCTGGAACCAAGTAACAATCCTCATCTACTTGGAAAGGGACTCTGTATAGCACGCACTCTAGTTGACATTGAAATGTCAAATACTCTTCCAATACGAGTACTTAACCTCACTGATGAACCTCAAACTATAACAGCAAACACAACTATTGCCATAGCAAAACCGGTACAAAGTGTTCAGGTTTTTGATCCGTCAGGCAATTGTAATGACAATAACATAAGCACAGACTGTGATGCCCAAGGTGATCTTCCAGACCCACTAAGAGACATGTTGTCGAGGAGTGCAACCTACCTTAGTGACAAGGAAGAAAGGCAGGTGACCCAGTTATTGATTAAGTATAAACATGTTTTCTCGCTGTCGGATGGAGAAGTCGGCAGGACCAGCCTACTTCAACACCGAATTAACCCAGGAAACGCAGCTCCAATTCGTCAGGCCCCACAACGCACGCCATCATGGAAACAAGCAGAGGTAGAGAGACAGGTCAATACCTTACTGGAGAGCGAGATAATGGAGGAATCGTCTAGCCCCTGGGCATCCTAATGTTGTAGGATGACTGACTAAGCCACTGACTGACTAAGCCACTGATTGACTAAGCAACTGACTGACTAAGCAACTGACCGACTAAGCAACTGACTGACTAAGCGACTGACTGACTAAGCGACTGACTGACTAAGCGACTGACTGACTAAGCGACTGACTGACTAAGCCACTGATTGACTAAGCCACTGATTGACTAAGCAACTGACTGACTAAGCGACTGACTGACTAAGCGACTGACTGACTAAGCGACTGACTGACTAAGCGACTGACTGACTAAGCGACTGACTGACTAAGCGATTGACTGACTNCGATATCGCACGAATCGCTTCGCGATTCGTGCGATATCGGTTTTTCAAGAGAAATTTAACGTGGAATTCACGAGTCAGGTAGTGAATTTTTCTATAAAATCGCCGTCACTCCAGTTTCTACGGCACTTAGTGGTCGATCACAAATAGTTGTCGACAACTAAATCCCTAGTCTGTGGAGGGCCTGACTGACCAACTGGCTAATCCACTAACTGACCGACGGACTCACCTAATGACCAACTGACTAACTGACCAATTCAATGACTAACTGAGTGCCTTGCGCAATTTTATTCAAGGTAACGCAACATGGTGACTAGCTTGCCGCGACTGACGCCTAACATCACTCCTCCGAGCAACTGTCACAGCGAGAAAGATCTCAGAGATTGTAAATATGATAGTTACAGCACGTGAGGCAATTCTACCTATGACTCTTGCAGTCATTTCTGAGCTCTGAAATTAAAGTAGCAATAAACGTCAAGACCCGAAGGCATCATATAGTCCAGAGCTAATCCATAAACCACAACAGAGGCGATACTGATTGACTTGAGCCAATCTATCTGCAGTCAGAAGTTCAGAAGAGAAGACAGTCAACTAATGACCTTAAAACATATCTTAAACCAAAGTCAGTTTAAGGGCTGGAACAAGTTACCTCCTCGTAAGTATATGATTCGTACATGTCATGCAGAAGTGAATAAAATGTTACTTTCTCTCCGCATAGATAGTCTCATAACATATCAGTTCGTCATTATTCTAACCAGAATCGGGGAGAGTCTGGACCTGAACGCTAGAATCACCATAATGTCCACTGGTAATACCTACCCAAGCAAGAAATAACATTTAGGTTTTAGAAATCATATCAAATGGCCGAACATACAAAAAATCATATCTTAATATCTACGGGGCAGAGTTGGCAGATTCAAACGGTAAAAGGATCTCTCTTGGAAGAAAAGAATTTTAATGTAAGTTTTCATGATGCATCGATGACACCTATTAAGTTATTTCTGAAAGGAAAGTTTTGTTTTTAATCTCGCGTAATCTCAAATCTACTGTCGATAAGAACTAAAATAGTGCAGCGGCGCTAGTGACAATTAGCGGGAAATCACTAAAGAAGAGAATTCAAATGTGTATCTAGTCATCAGAATGTCGAACTACTAAGATACTCCGAAAAATCACTACAAAAGAGATAGGGTTAAAACTGGGTCAAGAACGGAATTATTTTTCCTTACCATCCGCTCATGCACCACCCCCGTAACATAGTGGTAAGCCCGCCTAATATACAGGAGGAAGTAACCACAAAGGTTGGTGTGTTAGAAGGTGTCTGTCTTTTGGCACGTCAAGGGAAATTCCCTGTGGATATCTTGTCTAAGAATGTCATGTGGCAATCGGTTGTGAATGTAACTGCTGCCATTTAGGCAAGACTGCATGTTCGATTACCTCTAAATCTCTTCAGTTGCCTCCTAACAACGAACTAATCACGAAGGAATGGCAGAAGTCGCGCAGGCCCTTCGACACTTTTTCAATTTCAAAGGAATAGCAACAGACAGTGAATCCCCATCACGTTCTTAAAATCCCC